AAACATTTGCTACTGCAACTATTTTTATGGTAGTAACAAATTTTAAAAATCAACAGACTGTTTCTACAACTTTTATTTAACAGAACAAAACCCAAGTTGATTAGTTTTTATTTTACCGATATCATTATCAATTTTTCCATAGTTGTTCTGAATAGTGCATTTTCCTATTTAACATTCTGCTCTCTCTTAAATTGCATCTGCCAATCTCTGGGATAATCAACTTCATGAAAAAGATAAAAGGAAAACAGTTTTTTAAAAAATGAAAAGTCTGTTGTGCTTATAATGAAGCTAATGTATTTTATATAACCTTTTCTGAAATGCGTATTTCCAAAAAATCACAAAGCCCCACTACTAATGATAAAACTTAGAAGCAGATGGTTATCAAGTGGTTAATTAACCAAAAGTTGCTGAAGTGGGCTTGAAATAAAATTTCTACTTGACAAGTGAATGATACTTGCTTGATAGGAATGAAGTGTCTTATCTCACTACACTGATTTCTAATGCAGTGCTAAAAAACATCTTCCCACTTTCTTATCCCACAGTTTCATTTTCTAGTATAATTAGGCCTTTTTCCAAGGCATCTATCGGCAACCAATTAAGAAATGCGCACTCAGGTTAACCAATTTTGATTTAAATGGTGTTTCTATTGACATGCACTATGCTAATTTCACAAGTACTTACTTGTATTTGGGAATTTCTTCTAACTTCTTGTCACCACTTATTCGGTGAACCAAATCTGACTGTTCATTGTCAAAAGGAGCCAGGATAACATAAAGAACAACACTTTTCAGAGCCTAAAAATTCAATTGTATGACACAACAGGTTAGTTACAAGATACGAACCAAACAAAAACTTCTGAAGGAACTAAAGAACTGTGGAAAATACTTTTTAATTTTGTACATGAAAACGCTTAGGAAAGAAAATAATCTTCCCTTGTTCTGTTTATAGTGTCCTCTTGTAATATTAGTTTTCATAAAACTATAATAAATTTTGTTAATTTGAATTACCACCTGAGTTAACATTCATTTTTGCTAAATATTTAAGGAAAAAAGTTTTATAACAAGTTTAACAACAAAAATGTAGAAAATCCATATAAAATCAAAACCAAACCCTCAGTCATCGAACAGATTCTGACTCACAGCAACCCTACAGGACAGAAGACAACTGCTACTGTCTCCAAGGCTGTAGTCTTTATGAAAGCAGACTGTCTCATCTTTCTCCATCGGAGTGGCTGCTAGGTTCACACCACCAAACATCTGGTTAGCAGCCAAATACTTTAACCACTGTGCCATGAGCTACTTAAAATTATTGTTGTTAGTTACCATTGACTCATGCTTTTGTTAACTAACTTCCAAAGCAATGCTAGGTCTTTATCTGCAATCTTTGTTAACAGGTAACTGTACTTATTTTATGTGTGTCTATCTTTTTAAAAGCATTACATAATTTAGACTACTGTCCCAACTAACCTGTATCACACATTGAGTAGAGAGCACCATGATACAATTGCTTATAATAACTAAAGTTAAAATTATTTCAAAACAAATAAAAATGCAAACCCTTTCAAATAAGTATCAAAACCAATTATAAGAATATATTCTTACTTGTTGCCACTTTTCACTTTCTGCCTGTATACAGGGTGTGTCATATATTGCTCTGTAGTGCTTACAAATGGACAAATAAGATCCCTCATGTTGATCCAGCTGAATCATTAAATTATAGTATTTCAACTTTAATTTCTGGAAGAAAAAAGTTAACAGAATAAATTGTGTTTTACAGGTTTTGTTCTACTTTTCATGTAAACATGTAGTCAGAGAGATGCTTACCTCTGTATTTTCTTCCTGGAAAAATTTAGTGTTAATTTTCTTGCTGATAATTTGCGTACGAATGTAATCCTTCACAGCTAGGCATAGCCTCATTTGCTCCAAAATAAACTCCACTCGCTCTTTCTTTTCCATTGACCCATAGGTTTCCACCTAGTAGGATAATTGTCCAAATAAGTTTATATTTAGTAATTTTTAAGAGTTGTAACAAAGATAATGTTAAACTATTCACCCTCATCAAATAATAAGAATCTTCATGCATATTAGGGGTGTGGACCATTGTATAAACTTAGTTTCAGCCAAAAAGTAAAAAAAAAAAAAATGGTTACCAGGAGTAAGTGGGAGGGAGGGGAAAGGAGGGCTCACTGCTTATGAGAAACACTGAGCTTCTGTTGAGAGTGATGGAAAAATATAGAAACAGATAGCAGTAATGGTTGAAAAACAAGAGGAATGTGATTAATGTCACTTAATTGTACATGTAAAAAAAATGTTAAAATGGCTAATGTTTTGTTCCACATATTTTGGCAAAAAACAAAAAAAGAAGAGGAAAATGTATTGCACAGATACAGTGATATCATTTTTTGCTTCTTGTAGATTATGGGTAAGAGATACTACTGAAACGTTAGAATGATTAGTTTTACACAATGGGGGCCCTTGGAGGGTCCCAGAAGAGAATGAATTCCGTAAAATTACAAGCAAAATATTGAGTGTCGTTTATATGTCTGTTTTTCTGCTGAGAGAGTGCTTGGCTCTTCCCAGATTTCTTAGCTCTTTGCTGCCTCATTCTGAGGCCTCCTGAAACATGCCAAATTATAAGGCAATTCTTCTTTGTTAAACCAATTTTGTCTAGAAATTGACCACCAATCAAATATTCATTAAGAATGAAGCCAATGATTAACAGGAGATTCCTAAGACATAAGTAAACAGTACATGAGTTAACTTATTTTCTTAGCAGTTGAATTTAGCTGGAGTATATTATACAATTTGCAGGTACTATATTAAGTAAGTTTCACACTCTATTGTGCCAGGGCTTCCAATCAGCTCATTCCATCTGATGCTCTGCTGAGAATTTGTCTCTCTACCCCAGATATGCTGAATCGGAATCGACACTTTCACAAATACCCAGATGATTCTTATGCATGTGTAAGGTGATTCTTGGGGACCCTGTTAAACTGTAGATTCCGAGTCAGTGTATCTGGAGTGAAAAGGCAAATTCTCAGCATGTGGTTGACACAGAATGCGCACACTTCTACTCTTAGTGGTTTCAGAAAAGTGACAAGGTTCCCAAGTAAGTTACTTCCACGAGACAATACTGCTGCCTAAATATAGTTTACAAACTTGGAAATGCACTACCTTACCTGTAACTCTTGTAAAATGGAGGCTGCCTCTTTTACATCACCATTTTGTTCTTTTATAGTTGCTAATGTTTTAGTCAGTCGAGCACGCTCAATTTCAACATAAATCTACACATAAGAGAAACTTACATTAACAAAATGCTTGCAGAAAAGTATTAAAATTAAAAAGGTAGAATTGAACTATCATTCAAAATAAGTGTAACAATATTTTATCTTGCAGTCCTTGTGCCCTTAACCTGACATATACAAATAAACCTGTGAAATGTTTTAGGCACTGTGCCACCTTCAAGCTCAGTCTTGCACTCTAAGCCTCTGTTCCATAGCAACTGTCTCCCTATTTCACTCCCAACCACATAAATCTTAATTTCCAACAACACCAAACCATTTATAGTTCTCTGGTGGTGTAGTGCCTAAGGGACTTGACTGCTAACCAGAAGGCTGGCAGTTCAAACCCACCAGCCACTCTTCGGAAGGAAGACTGGGCAATCTACTTCCGTAGTGATACTGCCTCGGAAACCCAAGGAGGGGTCGCTCTGAGTCAGATCCGACTTGACGGCAGCTGAGTTTGTTTTTTTTAAACTATAGTGAGGGTGGCAAGATTCTGTCTCGCTCACTTCAGAGATGTCATCAGTAAAGACCAATCACGAGAAGAGGGTATTTTGTTTGGTAAAGTAGAGGGTCAGCAAAAGTGAGGAAGACCCTCAATGCAATGAGATGGACTGACACAGCCACCACAGTGGACTCAAAACCACACAACATTCCTGAGGATGGTATAAAACCTGGCGATATAAGGTCACCACGAATCAGAACTGACTGGACAGCAACTAACAACATAGTTTCCTAAATACATCAGGTATTTCTTAAGTATCTTTGTATATAATTTCCTCTCCATCTAAAGACTTCATCTTGCTTACTTTTGGGCACGTCATCAGAAGGGACCAACCGCTGGATAAATACATTGTGTTTGGTAAACTAGAGGGTTGACAAAAATGAGGGAGACCTTCAATGAGATGCAGTGACACAAGAGCCACAACAATGGGTTCAAACACGAGGCTGGTACATGACCTGGCAAAGTTTCATTGTTATACTCAAGGCTGCCACGAATCAGAACTGACTTTCCTTCTGCAACCACTAGCAGGGTATCAATTAGTCAAGGACTGATTAGGAGGCCTGTGATTTCCTCAACGTAAGTAAAGCACTATTGAACCATTATTGACAATAACCTAAAATAATGAAAACTATGTTGCAACAGTTTTCTAAATGTATCATGTGTTTCTTACTTTAGTACCTTTTTATATAATTTTCTTTAAGTCTAAAGATGTTTTGTCTTGCTTACTTTGGACATGTCATAAGGAGGGACCAGCCACTGGAGAAAGACAGCATGTTTGGTAAAGTAAGAAGACGACCCTCACTGAGACAGACCAGCAAAGGGGCAGCAACAATGGGATAAAACATGGCAATGGTTGTGGGGATGGTGCAGGACCGGCCAACTCTTCATTCTGTTATACATAAGGTTGTTATGAATTGCAACCAACTCAATAGTGCCTAATAATGTCTTTCTCCTCACCCATGGTCCTGCAGAATTTCTATTCATTCTTTAAAAATCAGCTCAGCCACCTTCCACTCTTTGAAGCTTTCCTGGGAATCTCAGCTGGTCAATCCCTACTCTGGGCTACATGGGAACTATAGGCACACTGCTACTGTCATGACAGTGCACAGTGACTACTTATCTGTATGATTTTGTCTTCTATACATTAATCTCTTTGAGGTGAGAAATAGTTTCTTGCTCACTATGGAACCAGCACAATAAACATTTGATGAACTGAACTGAGAGTCAAAGAAAGATTAAATAAGATAAAGTTATGTTCTCAAACAACAAAAATCTATCTAGAAAGAAACCTATCTACCATTTCACATCTGTCCTTTTTAAGAAAACAGTAAGACTACACAGAAAAAAAAAAGAAAAAAATACAAATAGCCTCTGGTAAGCCAGGGTGAAATACTGTTATTAATTTAAATATTACAGTCAAACCTTTCCTATTCCAAATATAGACTCTTCAGGCATATCTAGGCCAGTATGAAGAGTTAATTCATTATTACCATATGTAAATTTGGGCTAAGACTACTAATTCCTACAAAAAAAAAAAAATTCTGGGTACTAAGACTGCCATTATTTAAGCACATTCATGTGCATACAGGAAGATACTAAAAGGACATGCACAAAGATATTATTAGTGGAATTAAGGTGGTAGTATGTGTATTTCTTCTTAAATGCATGTAAATATATACATACACAAACACAGACATATATATATATATAAATAAAAACATCTCTGAATACTAGTATGGTAGCTAGTGAACCCTCCTTGGGTTTCTGAGGTAGTATCTCTACAGAAGTAGACTGCCTGTGCCTGGTCTTCCTTCTGAGGAGTAGCTGGTGGGTTTGAACCACCAGCCTTCTGGTTCGCAGCCAAATGCCTTAGGTATTACGCCACCAGAGCATCTTAAATATATACATATACAAACATATATCTATATATATAAATATCTCTGAATACTAGTGTGGTAGTTAAGGTTGTTGTCAAGTTGTCTTAGCCTGGTTGACTGGCTGGGCAGCTGGATGTAGTTATTCCCCATGTGAGACTGGCAATCAACTCCATGGTGGAATCTACTGGTGCAGCTGAGTAGCTGCTTTAGGGATGTGGTCTGCTTCCAGTATATAAGCAGCAGCTTTGAGGAAGGTCTCCATGTTATGGCACACATGAACCCTGCATGTAGCCGAGTTGTTGTTGTTCAGCAGCCTGCCATGTTGCCCTCCTGATCTTGGGACTTTAAATGGACTTGAATTAATGGCCTGCCGTGTGGTCTGGTAATACCGGGACTCTGCCTTTTTACTTGTCAACCTTAGGTTTGTCAGCCTCAGCAGCCAACAGCTGTCTGAGTAAAGAGACACCTTTAGTTTCAGTGGGCTGGGAGCAAGAGGCAGAGCTGAAGCCCAATGTTGAGGGGCTTTCACCCAGTTCCTAGAGCCTGACACCTGGAACTTGGACTTCTAACTCCAAAATTTTAAGAGAATAAACTGTTTGTTAAAGCCATCCCATTTGTGGTATATTCCTGTCAGAGTGGCACTAGGTTATCAAAACAACTAGTAATACAGTACATATCCTTGTGAATTATGTCAATAGAACACTTACTTTTCCTTCTGTAACCATTCGCAGGGTATCAATTAAACGAAGTTTGATTGGGAGGTCCGTAATTTCCTCAACATAAGTACAGCACTGTTGAACCATTTTTGCAACAGCCTAAAATAATGAAAACAGTTTGTAAGAAAAATTCATTTCTCGTACAAGAAAAAGACCTGATATATTTTGATAAAAGTGCTGTGGTCAAATTTGGTTTTCCCAAGCAACTATGAATATTGAAATGCCCATAAAAGAACATCAAAAACTCTTTAAGCCTAAGAAGTAGCCCGGAACACCCAGTAGCCAATCAATATAGGTTAGGGAAACTTCAGATGCAAAGGATCTACCCCACACACAACAACTGGTGAACTGTGACACAAAAGAAAAGGTGCAAGAGGTCTGACTACAATGCTATTAAGAGGCTAGCTAGCATTTTGGCAGCCAAGAAGATGTGGCAGCAGACGAAAGGGGGAAAAAACAGGGAGAAGAGAGTTCAACAGTGGCTGTGACAGCAGTAAAGTCACAACCAGCAGATGCTGTGAGTGTAGAGAAGATAACCAGTGGCAAAAGCTAAAGGTAAAACAGCTCACTCATCCAAGCGGGCAGAAGCCAGTGCCACCACACTCACCTCCATAAAATGTGACAGATGAAGCCAAAGCTGCTCTTGCCCTCAGTTTCCTCATAAGTAATATAAGCAGCTTGGACTACATCCTGAGTAAGTTCCCTCCATCTTTAACATCCTATGATCTAGATAAGGGATTGGCACACCTTTCCAGTAAAGAGCCACACAGTAATAATTTAAGTTTTGCAGGCAATACAGTCTCAGTGGCAATTACTCAAGTCTGCCACTGAATGTGAAAGCAGCAATAGATAACATGCAAACAAACGAGCAC